GGGGGGGACTTACGAGTGCAGGCCGTGCACGCCCCCCTCCACCTGCGCAGACATGGTCCTCTTTTCAAACTTCAGCTCCCCAGAGTACATCATTGACCTACAAACCAAGAGCTTTATTCACCACTCAGAATTGACCAGGACCCCCCACCACCGGGCATCTCCGTCAGCACGGCTCACCGCAGGATGGACAGGCTCTTGGCCCCGATGTCCTGGCAGCCATGTTGGATCCCAGCGATCAGGTAGGGGACAAACTTGTGGATGGATCCCTTGTCCTGAACGGAGCCGGACACCCCCTGGGCCACCTTTACCTTGTCTCCCTCGCTGTTTGAAGCACAAAGGTAGAGTGGAGTTCAGATGCAGTAGGCAGCACAGCCAGCAGAGGGCGCTCTGGAGCCACAGTCCGCCCCCAAGCCTGACCTGAAGTAGCGCTTCTGGCTGCTGCTGTTCTTCTCCATGGCATCCAGTGAGCCCATGCCGCGATACTTCTTCAGGCGAACGCCGTCCGAGAAGAAATATTCGCCAGGGGCCTCCGTGGTGGCGGCCAGCAGGGAGCCCATCATCACTGGGGGGTGAAGTTTAAGAGCTCAGGAGTCTGTGTGACCGAACGGGTGGTGCCCATCCCCTGGCGTCCTCCAGCGTACCCGTCGACGCCCCCAGGGCGAGCGCCTTGACCACATGGCCCACGGTCTGGATGCCGCCGTCAGCGATGACAGGCACCCCGAAGCGCCGCGCATACTCCGCCACCTTGTAGACCGAGGTCCCCTGCGGCCGACCACATGCCATCACTGTGGGAGACACAGGGGACAGGGTGCTGAGCGACTGGGGACACTCTGGCGATACGGGCCAGCTCTCCTAGGGTTCCTCCCACCCCCGACCTTCCTGCGTGATGCAGATGGAACCGCAGCCCATCCCCACCCTAAGGGCGTCCACACCGGCATCGATCAGGTTCTTGGCCTGTGCTGCTGTCACCACTAGAGACACAAGGGGACACCGTCAGCAGGGGACGTCACCTCCCGGCACCGAACAGAGAGGAAGTGTCCCCTAGGCTGTGACCCACCGTTGCCCCCGATGACCTGCAGCTCGGGCGATTTCTGCTTAATGTAGTTGATCATGTTGATCTGATAAACGGAGTTCCCTTGCGAGGAATCCTGTCAGGTGGGGGAAGAAAAATCACAGTGGTCTATAACTGTGTTTTTAGTCTTTATCAGAATCAAAAAAGTACAAGGAGGTGTTGTGGTGCTGGTGGAGGCATGGAGTTTACAATTACACTTAAACACCAAGAGAAAAGTACAAAAAAACAATAAATGGAATAAGAAGTAAAACAGAGATAGTAAAAATAAAAGAAACTAAGATGTGCGAATAATAGGTGAACATAAGTAAACAGCCATATATCCAGACAGTTTGGGGTGGTACTTATAAAGAAAGGGATGGATCTGAACTTTAGTCAACAACTAGCACTTACAGAAGGGCCCGAACCCACCAGAACCACCACATCCACACCGGCCTGCATGAGCAGGTCCAGTCGGTACTTGTCGTCCTCCCGGGTCCCAATGGCAGCACCACACAGCAGCTGCTTGCGCGAGTCCTTGGAAGCCAGCGGGTAATCCCGATTCTTTTTCAGGTCCGTGCGAGCGATGATGGCCACCAGCTCATCACTGTCATTCACAATGGGCAGCTTCCCTGATCCAAGACAGACCATGTAAGAACTTTCCAGAACTTTCACAGTAGATCTGTCATGGGCATGTGCTTAACCCCCCAAGGACTGACTGGTGACCCAGTTACTCTCACCTTTCTTACTGCGCTGCAGAATGTCATTGGCCTCCTTCAGCGTAACCCCTGCAGGTGCAACGACCAGATCTTCCCTCTTGGTCATGGTCTGCACGACAATGGACCATGAGCAGAGCAGTGAATCATTGCTGCATAAATTATTTAAATTCTAACTAAAAAAAAACACAAGTCGTTCACAGAGCAGGATCTCCCAGGGATTGGGGCAGGGGATTCATTTTAAAAAGTAAACTTTATATTTTCAAGCCATGCCTTTTTTACAAGCTCAGTCCTGCCAGTTGACAGTCATACAGGTGTGTAAAATATTTGCCCAATGTAAAGACCGCAGTCATCAAAGGTGATAAATCTAACTCAGCCCCCAACAAAACCCCGTCCCTGCCCCCCACCGCCACACACCTCCTCCAAGGCACGGCCATAGTCCTTCTCGGACAGGAAGTCGATGTCGCGCGAGGTTACGATGCCCACTAGCTTGCTGCCCATCTTGCCCGTCTCGGTGACAGGGATCCCGGAGAAGCCGTGCCGCACTTTGGCCTCAAAGACGTCACCGACGGTGTGACGCGGGCTCATGACCACGGGATCTGTGATGAAGCCCTGCTCGAATTTCTGCAGCGCGATGGACAAGACGGAGTCCTGAGGTGTCCCGCTTGTGTGCCTGATGCCCCATTGTGGCCCCATCGCACCCCCCCACCTTACCTTGACCTTCCGCACCTCGTTGGCTTGGAACTCGGGTGTGCAGTTGTGGTGGATGATGCCGATGCCTCCCATGAGCTGGGAACACAGATAACAGGTGGGCCAGAGTTGGGTCATTTAGGTCCAGAGAGTCCAGACCAAGATCTTAGTTCAACCAACCAGTGCATAAAGAGTCACAGTCACAGACTCAACTGGTTGGTTGAAACAAAATCCCGGTCTGGTCTTTTACTCTCTGGACCTGAATTACCCAACTCTGGTGGAGACTACTTACCGCCATGGCAACGGCCATAGACGACTCTGTCACAGTGTCCATGGGTGAGGAGATCAGTGGGGTCTTCAAGGAGATTTTCCTGGTCAGAGCAGAGGTCAAGTCCTGGAAGGTAGATATTCAAAATAAACACCTTCGCTCTCACATTAATGGGAACCTATTTAGAGAGTACTCTGCAGAGCAGGCACACTGCTTTAGTGTGAAACTTATGCTACTTAACTTACATATATCTGCCAGGTATCTGTAATTCAAATGCAAATTATTTCAAATTTACATCATATTCCAAGACACACTTCTAGTGTGCAAGACCACAAGAAGAATCATCTCTGTCCACCCTCATTTTATTCACAGAAATCATACTTCCTTACTCACAGGAAACAGTGTGGGAATCTCCCCCTCAAATGCTTCCCATTAACGATAGAATTAGGTAGCGGCCAGGGATACCCCTCATCTTACTCATAGGAAGCAGTGTGGGAATCTCCCCCTGGAGTGTTTCCCATTAACGATAGAATGAGGTAGCGGCCAGGGATACCCCTCATCTTACTCATAGGAAGCAGTGTGGGAATCTCCCCCTGGAGTGTTTCCCATTAACGATAGAATGAGGTAGCGGCCTGGGATACCCCTCATCTTACTCATAGGAAACAGTGTGGGAATCTCCTCCTCGGGTATTTCCCATTAATGATAGAATGAGGTAGCAGCTTGGGATACCCCTCATCTTACTCACAGGAAGCAGTGTGGGAATCTCCTCCTCGGGTATTTCCCACTAACGATAGAATGAGGTAGCGACCTGGGATGCCCCTCATCTTACTCACAGGAAACAGTGTGGGAATCTCCTCCTCGGGTATTTCTCACTAACGATAGAATGAGGTAGCGGCCTGGGATGCCCCTCATCTTACTCACAGGAAACAGTAAGATTCTCCCCCTCCAGTGTTTCCTACTACCCAGAAAATAAGACCTGACACAGAGCCGCCAAGAGGAGCTGACTGAAAAATAGTAACAGAGTTCACAGACAGACAGCATTCTGGGCAGCCATGACTATTCATCAGTAACACAAGCTGTGCATGTAATCATCTCTGCTGCTGGGATTCTGAGCTACACAACTGCCAACATCCGGGGGTTAGATGGAGCGGGATCGTTAATGTCGATATGCAGGCGCCTTCCCATGGAGGAGCGGCAGAGGAATGGCACTGCACAGTAAATGAATGGGTCTAAGTACAGTAGATGCCCTGAAGAATGAAAACTGGAAAAAAATCACCGCAACAGCACTCGAAAAGCAGAAATGGTCCTAAAATTCACGGCGAATGGAAAAGCTCTGTGGCAAACGGGACGATGCAGAGCTGAGCCTGGCACCTCGAAGAGCTGATCTAAGCTTGGCTAAGAGGCCCAGGCGCTATACTGTACAAACAGCAGTGAACAGTGTGTGTGGCTGCTGTCCAGTGAGGGCCTTTAGGGGTCATGTTTACACATGAGGCCTGTGTGGACTGGCAAGGCTCAGATGAGAAGGCTGCCTCTGTCTGTCCATAGGTAAGGGTGAGTTCAGGGGCGAGGTGAAGGTCACCTCCCTGCACCATGCTCCAGCCCCCCCACGCCACCAGCTTTTCAGGGTCAAGGGTCCCCTGCTGGCTGAGAGCCAATCAAAACAGGGCCTCCAGGTGTTTCCAGCAGAAACCTCCCCATGACTCACCGTGTAAATAGACAAAGTTAAATGTGAAAATGCCTGTAAATGATCTTAAAGCAACATGCTTTCCATATTTTACATATGTAAACACAGTCTGTTCTGCTGCCATCATCAAGGACAGATCAGTCTCATCCAATCAGTGAAGCTTGAGGGAAAGATGGGATTCCCAACAGCCTGTGGGGGGTGCAAGAGGGCGGGACTCACCACTTCGTCAGACGTGAAGTCGATGAAACCTGGTAGAATCAGGAAATCACTAGAGTGAGGGACAGAGAGAGAAAAGTCAGGTGATCATGCACACAGGTAAGACACACCATTATTGGTGGGCAGCGATCTGCCTGGGGCCCCAGCGGTTTTGAGGCCCCTTGTTGGTCACAAACAGTCACTACACTAAGTATTGAAATATATGCATATTCTTTATTTATGTTCTTCTGACTTGGCTTGCTAGCTAATGTGATGCAGCCAAGCAGCAGCACCACAGAAAGAGAGGCAATCAAAGACACAACCTGCATCACAGACACTGACACAGCTGATGAGGATGCTACAAACACAGACGGAGGGAGGGGGATTTTAACTGGAGCCCCCAGTGGAGCCCCAGGAATAACAAATGGGCCCCCTGCACATGGCAGATGGCATGACTGTACAGAGGCCTGGATCTGAAGCGTGCAGGAAAAGCTCTGGAGCCTTAAGAACCTTCCGGTACGATGGAGTTTCTCTGGCAGCATGACCCCCAGTTAGTAAGCTCCCAGTGCTCCCAGAAAGCGCACGGCTGCGCAAAGCAGAAGGCAGAGGGGCCGAGCAGTCACAGTAAATAGCGGCTCCTTTAAGAAGAGCGCCCCCTGCTGTTATTTCCTGTACTACATCTATAACATGGGACAGCTGCAGACCGACTCATCACGGAGCCGCCATTCAGGAAGCACGCACCCAGCAAGAGGAACAACAGGGTAACAGGACTTGGGTTACAGGCATTTGGAGACTAAAAAGCCCTGCATCAACATCTGATTTATTTGCACAGAGGCCTAAGCCACTGAGCGCCACCAAGCCCCCAAAGACAGACTTCTGCCCTGAAGTGAGTGACAGAGTTGATTCCTCTTTGGGCAGAGAGCCTGCTCACCTGCTAAATGTAAAACACACAAGTCCCGGTTTCGGTGTCCGTTTGGCCGAATGCGGACCGCTGGGAGTTACACACTATGCTGAGGTCAGTTACTCACTTGTAGGTTACCCCATCGGTTCTGCTATGGCCCAAACCATGTCCCCCACAGCAGACCAGACAGGACTTACTTGTACGTGAGGCCGTCTCCGATGGAGAAGAGCTGCTGGGCAGTGAGCCCATCCTCTGGGACGTAGCCAGTGCCTCCGCTGATCAAGTAATCCGCCATGCTGCCGGGAAAAGAGAGAGAGACCATTCAAGGAGTCTGGATGTGAGGGGCTGGAGCAGTAACCGCTGCGGTCACCCCCCACCTGACCGTGTGCGGTCCAGAAGGACTGTCAGAGTCAAGATGTGAGGGGCTGGAGCAGTCACCACTGCGGTCACCCCCCTGCTGACCGTGTGTGGTCCAGAGGGACTGTCAGGTAGTCAGTATGTGAGAGGCCGGAGCGGTTACCCCCCTCATGACCCTGTGCAGTCCAGTGGTCATGGGACCCAGATGTCACAGCAAATTTATTAAAGCCCCAACACTGACTCCATTGTGGCTTATATAGGAGACCCAGCAAGAGGTTTCAGGTCACAGAATTGCTAGTTCAAGTACTTTTATGGATACTTTCTGGATCTAAATCAGTGATATCATGATCCAGTTGGTCTTATTTCAGTCAGATCAAACACATCGACGGGTAACACGAACCGAGCCACATCTTGCAGTCCGAACCCAAGAATTGATCCGTCTGACCCAGCTCACACGAGCCGAATCGGGCATCCCCGGGTTAGTCAGTCCACTCCGCTATCGTCTCCATCATATCATTCCCTGGATTAGCTAGCCTAGCATTCTACCATCACCTACACCGTGGATCATGCTTATGATGACGAGGTTCGATGCGACCTGTGGGGCAGAGTGGTACCGCGCATTGTCCCGTCCGATTCCGGTCCGAACGCCGGCAGATCCCGTCCAGAGCCCGGAATATCTCGGTCTTAATCCACGTTTGGCGTTAGGGAACGAAGAGAGAGCTACTCTACCTGGAGTGCGCGACGGCTGCCTGTCAGCACCGGCTCCCCGAGGTGTGTGCGGGATCGGCTGGCTGCCGGGTTCTGGTTATGAAGCGCCGAGCGCACCGAGTGGGCGGACCGAGCCGAGTCGATCCGATTATATCAGAGTTTACCCGATCATGTCCGATCCTAGGCGAGCCTATCCGATTGTATACGTCCACATTCTTTATACGTGGTAGCAAGACTCGCAGGATTCCGAGCATCCCGATTGCCTTTAAGCGGTCCATAAATATTTCTGTAAATGTACATGTACTCATAAGGCTCTTTCATGCTTTTAGGGTTAATGCATTTGGGAGATCTTCGGATGTATGTATGCGGTGTATTACGTACGGATCGGAAGCCCAACGTGCACCAGCCGGCCCTTCCCTGACAGCCCACGACAGAACAGACACTCTTTCTGTACTTTTAAACAGCATTTCCGCGTGAGCTGCTTTCTTACCGGAGACGTATCGGGAGTCTAGAGTCTGTTTAACAGAGTAGCCCCGACTCTGATCTGTCCATCCATCAGAGACTGATCTGTCCTTGATGATGTCAGCAGAACAGACTGTGTTTACATATGTAAAATATGGAAATACAATTTTTATAAATGACTGAAAGAGGAATTATGGCAACGTGCAGAGTTCAGTAAAGTGAAGCTGTGTTAAATCTGAACCAATTAACACTGATAACTATATAAAAAACGGAACATGGAACGGTCTGTTTCTGCTTCTGTGACTCATGCAAACGTCCTCTGATGGCACATGGCCCCATTTTACGGAGATCCTTTCTTTGTGGCATACGCTGACATGGGCGTGGATATGAAATTATCTGGTCAGTGACGCTGCAGGCTGAGCCCTTATCCTAGCGAGCATGCAGGACTGCGCACAGAGATATTGGACTGATTAGGAATGTTCTGGGCCTGCTGAAGTCCCAGAACAAACATGCAGGTGCACCACGACGGGACCATAAGTTATTTAATATCACTCTTTCAGGCACCTGTTTCTCTAGAAAATTCAGCTCTGGCTGTTGTTTTCAGCATCACATATCCATGAAGACCAACATGTCACAAAATCAGAATGGTTTCTTCCCTGTGGCAATCAGATTCACTAACGGTTCAGACCTCCATGCGAGACACACACTAATTCACCAAGCATCTCATTTACTTTTCATATATATATATATATATATTTATATTTGGGTTCTGTGTGGCCAGGTTATTTTTAGTTATTTTAGTGCTCTCTTTGTCTTGTTTTTAATGCTCCTTGCACACCTGTTTCAACCTTTGATCTTTATCACACAGATGACTCTATTTCCTGTTGTATCCACTGTAGTTATCCTGTACTTGTTCTGTGTTATTATATTGTTTAAATGACTGTTTAAATGGGCTGAATTCCCCATGCACGTGTAGGTACCTGACTGTATTAGAACTGTTTCTGATTCTGGTTCAGGGACAGCATCTCCTGGCCTGTCCAACTTCACCTAAAATTCTACTTTAACACTTGCCTCAGATCAGAACATGATTCTGTTGACTGAGGTCGTTCATCTTCTATTCCTGCAGGTTTTACCTTCTTATTATCCACAGAATCACCTCATTTTCATTTCATATTTCCCTATGATATCTTCAGTATGTTACCCCAAGCAGACTCTATTCCAGTGATGATATGATCTTCCAATCTGACTGTGTATTTAGACTTTTGTGGATTATTTAGGGAAGGAGGATTTGGGATGAACGCTTTGACTAAACATGGCTCAAGGTCATCTGAGGAATGCCTGCGTGAAGGAATGAAAATTCCTCACAGCCGTACAAGAGCAGAGATTGTCTGGGGATGTCCTGTGACTGAATACATAAGTGATACTGGACCAGAACTGGGCCAGAACCAGCCAGAGGCATTCGCATCCCAAGCTGAAGACCGAAGGCTGATCCACTGAGAGCCACTAGATATCACACTGCGTCACCTGCTTGCATGTTCTAAGCTGTCAGTGGTCCACCTGGTCTTTGTTGTTTTTAATTAATATATGGCTAATCAACAGAGACCCTTAAAAGCCAATACTGCCTAACCCTCTCCAAGCTTTCTGAGAATATGCTGGCTTTTTGGAGGACTTGTTAATTAAAAAAAAAACTGCCATATTTTCAGATAGCTTTACTTTACTGTGCTCTTGGCGAGATATTTCCATTACAATGGGAATGGAATGGAAGTTTTTTTAATATTATTATTTACATAACAACCCGAAATTACAAACTGACTGGCTGAGTACAGAATTTTGGAGAACCTTTATTTCCCATACATGATTTTAAAAATTTTAATCATTTTCTTTTAAATGAAAAATATTTACACAAAATATTTATCATGGTGTGATGAATATTATAATGATCCTGAATATTATAAGTGGTTACAGTAAATGGATGGATGGATGGATGGATGGTTGGAGGTGTGGTAACTCAGCAGGTAGCTCATTAGTAAGCGCTGATGGTTCCAATCCCTGTATGTGTGAAGAGTTTGCACAGGTTTCTTCCTGTAGTCTAAAATCATGCAATTATGCAAAATCCCCATTGCATGCGCCTTGCGATGAATCGGGAGGCTTCCCTGCTTTGATTCTCCTGCGATAGATTCACTGCAGCCTTTTACTGGGTAAATGTTGTGAAAGATGGATGACCGGGCAGAAAGGTGAAAAGTTTTTCAGATCCATAGGAAATGTACAGACATTGACTGCATGCCTCTAGTCACTGGTGTTATGTGAAATGTAGATGAACAAGGTGTAGTTGATATATTAAAACAGCTAAATTGGTACTGATAAATATGATGTTTATGTCTGCCTATCTGTCCATTAGCACTCAGTTCCCTGGAAGACATTAACAAATTCTGTGCTGTCCTCTTAAATGCTGCTTGGACTGAAAGCCAAAGAAATTAGCCAGGGATGAGTCTTTTTAAAATCTAGGACGTACAAGACATCCTATGAGGAAATTTGGAAAAATACAAATGGATGTTTTAACACCTTTTACAATCCCAATAATAATAATTAAGTAGTTAAAACTAAATTGCTTGTCTACTCAAAATGTAAGAAAACAATTCCTCAGTGCAAATAATAATAATCGATACTTTATTGATCCCCGTGGGGATATTGTCTTTACACCTCCCTCAACTCGCTCTTTTTTATTTGTAGAGTAAGTTGTCAACATATTTAAATACTAAATAGATGCAGTAGATGATGATTTGATTACAAAAAACAAAGGAACCAGTGGTTTGTCACAGCTTACTGTATCGGACAGGAGGTCTGCAGGGTGCAAAGTGCCGTTTCCCACAGCTGCTTGTCTCAGACCTTGCGGAAAAGCCAGTACTGTTTACCTACAAACACAGCGAGCTCCTCTGTGAAAGCTACCCCCCCTCCCCCACACCGGCGTGTTTTCAAAAGCGCCAGGAAGGAACACCTGCAAGCCAAGCTGAGAGAGGCCACAGGGGCCTCGCCTGCAATTCCCAGGGTGCCTGGCTTCTGTGCAATCACATGTCCATGAGAGTTAGTGCTAATTATAACCCTGCTCCATTTTCCCAGCAGGCCTGCTGTGATGGAACGGATCAGCGACTATGAGGACATCAACGCTGGTGTCAGGCTGATATAATCGGATTGTCACTAATCATAGCACAGGAGTCTTTGTGCAGGGCCATTTCACAGGGAGATTAATTCACAAGATTAATAATTGGACAGGGTTTCATAGTAAAAAGACACAACACAGGCAAAGTGATTAAATCCCCCTGTAAATGTACAGCAACAAGCAGGTCTCATAAATATACAGGTACACGCAGGTAAAACTATTAAAATGTCTCATAAATATACAGGTACATGCAGGTAAAACTATTAAAATGTCTCATAAATATACAGGTACATGCAAGTAAAATTATTAAAATGTCTCATAAATATACAGGTACACGCAAGTAAAATTATTAAAATGTCTCATAAATATACAGGTACACGCAAGTAAGATTATTAAAAT